TATATAACTATATAACTATTTAAAATATATCCAAAAATGTTTTAAGAATGCACCCTGAGATAAAACTGACAGGGTTATTCACAAAAGGGAGAAGAGTTTGGAGAAGGCAGGAGAAGTGAACAATCTAGGACAACTTAGCTGAACTGGAAAGTGAGTTGAATTGGGGAATGTTTCCAAATCAGCTACCCTGTTTCCCCAAAAATAAGAGCTACCCCGAAAATAAGACCTAGTACTATTTTTGGGAGTTGCTAAAATATAAGACCTACCCCGAAAATAAGACCTAGTTGTGACCATTCCCAGGGCCGGTGGTGGCATAAGGGGGAACTTGAAGAGCCGTGGGAGAGAATCAGCGGTGCCAACGAAGCCAGCGCTAGAGGAAGCGAGGCGGCACCGGAGGGAGCAGAGCCGCATAAGCCGATGCCTCCTCTATAGCGCCGGCTCCTGTCACAGACGGAGTGATACCAAATGCACTCCGCCTGTGAGGAATCCATAGTGAAAGTGCGCTTTGCTCATTCTGGCCAGCGATGGTTACCAAATTGCTCTTGGAAAGGTACAGCACCCCTGATTGCCCTGATCACCATATTTGTGTACATGAATAAGTGTGGATTGTTGTACATTAAAAAAAAAAATAAGACCTACCCCGAAAATAAGACCTAGTGTGTGTGTTTTTGAGCCCCCAAAAATATAAGACAGTGTCTTATTTTCGGGGAAACACGGTATTTTGGCCTAGATCGTTGACTTCTCCTGCCTTCTCCAAACCCTTCACCCTTTTGTGAATAACCTTGTGAGTCTGTTATATCTGCCGACAATTACTCCAGGCAAAAAACTGCATACAAAGATAGAATGCATATATGGAAGCTGTTTTAAAGGATTTCTGTTCATGCCCATCTACATCTGAGATTTACACAGCCTTGCCACACAGCATGGCCAAGGAGATAACCCAAACTCCGTTATAATGAAGTAATACAATGCTGACAATCTTGCCCCCAACCTGTTGATTGGACAGTAAAAGAGCAGCGGGAAACGGATGAGGTCATCACTCTGCTCTCTTCCTCTGGCAGCTTGTTTATTTTCCGCATATCTGCATGCAGCTCACCTGATTGGCTCTCAGTGCTGTTCTTCCCTGTATAGGGACCCACATTTATCCTTGGTCATTAAGTCGTGACCCAAGTCGCACTGCAATGGAATGCACGGCAGTGCGGTACAGTGCATTCCGGTGCGGCCGATCGAACTGTGGGTGGGAGGTGCGTTTGGGGTGCCATTCAAATTAATGGCAATGCAACACATCCCCATACCAAAATGTGCGATTGCGTGGTAAAGTTCGTTAATCGCATGGGACTGTGCAATTAACTGTACTAGTGTGAACGGGCCCTCAAAAACCCCAACAGACACACAGAACCACAGACACAATTTCACACATTCACATTCTCACACACACATTCCCAAAAAATTTAAATTTTTATTATTTTTTTTAAGGTCCACCTATTCTCCCTACCTTGCGAGAACTGGAATTGATCCTCAGCCTGGGGACCAGTGTGGGCTGCTGTGCTGTGACGGAGCTCCATCCATATGTGAATTGCTTGTACAGCTCCCTCCTGTGCCCTGTAGAGGTGCCGGGAGCCAGAATGTGATGTCACTCCAGTCCAGACACCTCTGCAGGGCACGTGAGGGAGCTGTAAGCAATGCGCATATGTATGGTGCTCCCTAGCAGCCATACCCCCAGCCCACGCCGCTTCAAGCAGACACTCTGCGCCGGGCAGTATATTCTGAATGGCTGCTTGGCGCAAGAACTGACAGTGCTGCGCTAGGGGGAGAATGAGTAGTCTCTTACCTAGAAAAGTGGAAGGCATGTGGCGACCTACTGAACAAGGGGTCACGACCCACCAGTTGAGAACCAAGGCCATAGAACCTTAACTCAGCAACCACATACATTAACTTCAGCTCTGGCCCGGTCAATGAGGAAAAATTTGCATGGCCGTCAACCCTAGTGCCACCTTGGATATCAGCAGCACCAGCAGTGACAAAACCATAAACAATCGTTTCACTTACAGTGTACTTCTGCACCTACAGGGAAAAACCCCTGGAATAATAACACCGGAGGGCAGGGCCGGTGCTAGGATTCTTTTGCGCCCCCCCTGTAAAAACAGGGCATTTTGACAAATACTTGTACTTGTCAAAATGCCCCGATGTTTGCGCTATGTTTTTTCACTTACCTTCAGCTACAAGTACAAGTACTTGTCAAAATGCCCTGTTTTTTCCGCCCTCACCCTGCAGCGCCCTCAGGCGGCCGCCTGACTTGCCTTGCGCTAGCGCCGGGCCTGCCGGAGGGAGTGTTCTAACCTCGTAGGTCTCCCAGTTCAAGCCCGTCTATCAGATTCAGACATATTTAACAGGTTATAACATGTTGTGTAACGAAATGGTTGCAGAAAATCGCTCTGTTCAGAGTGTGAAATAAAGTTTCAGTAACGGCATCCATCTTTGGAGGAAAGTAGATGCCAAACCCTCAGAAGAGGGATCTGATTCCGCCTCCAATCTTTCTAAATGCATCAGACCTGAGGCTGTCGCACAATGTATTAGACATGCGCGATTCGTTTAGTTCCGAATCAAAATTCGTACGAATTTTCTGAAATTGGGACATTCAGACACATCCAAATTTCCGAATCCCAATGCATCCAAATGCGTCTGAATTTTCGTTTCCGAACTTCGGATCCCATCTGAATTTCGTTCAAAAATTAAATTGAATCGGACATGTTAGAGCGGTTAAATTCTGTAACTGGCTGCCACAAGCAATGGTATCAGCAGAGAGCATTGAACCATTCAAAAAGCATTTAGATACCTTCCTCAGAGACCGTAACATACAAGGGTAAAGGTACTCTTAAAAACTAGACCACACAGGGACTCGTGTACACACACACATGCACAATCACACACAGACACACAAAGGTTGAACTTGATGGACCTGTGTCTTTATTCAACCTCAAATACTATGTGACTATGTAACTATGTGACTTTTCTGGCCAATCAGATGTGTTTTTCAGTTTAATGAATCCGAATGATTCTGAATCCGAATTTCCGTTAAGGCAACATATGAGCCATCTATATATACAGTATATATATATATATACACTGAGTGGCCAGATTATTATGACCACCCCATCAGTACTTCGTTGGGCCATGAGATGACTTCGTTGGGCCGCCTCGTGACTCCACGAGATGTTGAAAGGTGATGCGAGGAATCTGACACTGCACTGTTGTCCTTCTGTTGTCTTGTACCAGTCTTGCCACTCTCCGTTCTGCCCTAACATTGACTAGTCGCTAACGGCCACAATTCGCACGTTCACACCCAGATTTTCGGCTGACAGTTCAGTCTTTAAACACTTTAACAACAGCTGCTCTTGAACATTTAACAAATTCTGCTGTTTTGCTGATACTCGCTCCATGGCTCGCGCCAACAATCATCCCATGTTCAAAGGCTGTTCAATCGCGTTGTTTACCATTATCTTCAGAAAAAAATCACTTCTACTGTCGTGGTAAACAATCTGCTTCCCTATTTATAATGGTCTGGCCCTCTAGCAACTTCAGCACTTAAATTATAGCTAATTTGCCTACAAACGTCAGGTGGTCATAATAAACTGGCCACTCAGTGTATATATATATATATACAGGTGAAACTCGAATAATTAGAATATCGTGCAAAGTTCATTTATTTCACTAATGCAACTTAAAAGGTGAAACTAATATATGAGATAGACTCATTACATGCAAAGCAAGATAATTCAAGCCGTGATTTGTCATAATTGTGATGATTATGGCTTACAACTCATGAAAACCCCAAGAACCCCAAATCCACAACCTCAAAAAAGTAGATTATTACATGCAATCAATAAAACAAGGATTGTACATAGAACAATATCGGACCTCTGAAAAGTACAAGCATGCATATGTACTCAGTACTTGGTTTGGGCCCCTTTTGCAGCACTTACTGCAATTACATTTGCATGATATTCTAATTATTCGAGTTTCACCTGTATATATATATATATATTCCCGAACTGCAATCGAGATCCGAATTTTCAAATTGCATTCGGGAGCTCCCGAATGCCATTCGGGTCTGGGTGCCTCAGGATTAGTTTTATGTATATATGGATCACAATGTTGCTGATACGAATATTTTTTTGTATTATAGAATACTATTTATACTGTATATACATAATACTAAAACTGATGCTCCAAGACCCGAATGGAGTCTGAATTTCCAAATAGCATTTGAGAGCTCCCGAATGCCATTCGGGTCTGGAAGCCTCAGCCATAATATGGCTCCCAGACCCGTATTGCTTTCTGGAGCTCCCTAATGGTATTCGGAAATTCGGACCCCCGAATGAGATTCGGGTCTAGGAGCTTCAACTTTAGTATTAATATCTGTATACGGTAACTGTGGTATTCGCAACGAATATTTGTAAACTCACCCGAAACTAACAAAAATTCGGATTTCTTCCGAACCTGAAAAATTTGGATCCGAAAGCTGAAATAACGAAATATCCAAACCGAACTTTTTCCACAGCTTACATGTCTACAATGTATGCAGTGTGAATGCCACCACCTTTCTAGCCAGAACATCCCGGGTTGCTAAGAGCTGGATGAGGAGATGTGTAAGGGCCACACACACCTCTCTGCCCAGCTCTTAGCAATTTGAGACGCTCTTGCCAGCATCCTGCCAAGCTTCTGGCAACAAGTGACTTGACTGGTTCCTGGGAGCTCAACGGATCAACGTGCCCACCGTGCTCCTAGCCCTGACCCTTTTCTCCCAATGTGAGTTCTATTGTGCAAGGGATTACATGAGAGTGATAGCTAGCCAGATTCATCTCTTTACATCAATTGCATTTAAAAAATAAATTGATTGGTTTTGGATTTAATAGCAGTAATCATGAGATTTTGTATAAAATGTGGTGACATCCTTTTCCACTTTGTTCCTTTTCAGCTTCAACCTTTCGAGAGGGAAAATGTCTTTGTACAACGTCTGTTATTCCACTGGGGAAATTATGGAGCTTGTTGCCTATGAAGAAAAGTATTCTGCTCCTCTTAGGTATATAAATTTTGTGCTAGCTTTGTCGACCTGCGTCATAGGACTGATTGGCAATGCCATCGTCATCTTTGTCAACATATTTGTAATGAAGAAACATAAATCCAGAATCTGGTTCTTGAACTTGGCCATCACCGATTTTGTCTCCCTCCTCTTATTGCCTCTCCATGCTTTTGCTGTATTAAAGGACCACTGGCCCTACGGAAAGCACATGTGTAAGATATTCCTCTTTGTTATCTGTGTCAATATGTACACTAGCATTTTCATTCTCATCGCCTTAAATCTCAGTCGGGTTCTGTCTGTGGCGAAGCCAATGTTTCATCGGGAGTTTATCTCGCAACGTGTTTCGCGATGGACCTGCATAACCATATGGGTGATAACCATATTTGCCAGTCTCCCAGTGTTGCTTTATAGTGGTGAGTTTACTATTGGAGATGACAGTCATTGCAGTTTATATTGTGCTAAAGACTTTGATGAGAAAGCATCTGGCCCTACATATAATTTAACTGAACCTCTAAGCTCAGAGAACAAGGCTTACCTAGATGTGCACAACAAGTTCCAATATTTTTTCAATGAATGTTCACCAGAAGAATGCTGCAGCAATGAGAGCACACTCAACACATGGAATAACATGATATTTTCAATACAGTGTTTTATAATCCCTTTGCTAGTGATTGGCTATTTTCTTCCATTCTGTGTTATAACATTTTCCAACATAACCATAGCTATACAGGTCCGAAATTCCCAGACTGTGAACACACATAGGCTCAATCAAGTAGTCATCACCATCATTATAGTGTACTTTGTCACATGGACACCGCTTATTCTAGGTGAAATTATTATTTTGGCTGCTGTTATAAATATGAACATAGTTTTCATGTTTAAAATCATTACTTTCATGCCGCTCCTCTGTACCATTGCCTATACCAACTGCTCCTTGAACCCCATCATGTACGTGCTGGTTGGCCGACATGCAAGGGCCAGTCTCACCGTTTACTTAAATAGCATAAGCATAAGAAGCAGCTAAAAGTGTACTTTTAAAGGGCAAGCCTAACTAAAGTTAATATTTTAGTTGTAGGTGGTAGAGTCATCCACTGTTTAGATGAGACCTCTTGTTACATGAGCAGCAGGTGAATGGACAAATCTCATTGCCTTAGACTGCGAACAATATAAGACGTTTTTGTTGGTTTAACCCATTCACATTCGCTTAAGGCTAAGCTCCAGGCATAAAAACTTTCATTCAAATATACTGTATTCCTTAATACCCATAGATGATATAAATCCATTTGTGTGTACCAAATGTCTTTATGAACCCAGATATTAGCTTGTAGTAGTAGCAGTGATATTACCATTGTGCTGTACATAGTCTGTGCAGAGAGCAGAGCTTTAGGTAGGACCAACTAGACGCCAATCATTACAGGCTGTGTGCAGAAAACTATAGGAGGGGGAGGAGACAAGACCAGTCACCCTGGAGAGAGCACCAGTGACTGGTCCCTATTGCAGAAAACTCCTGCAGACAATGAGCCGCAGTTGTTTCATGCTGGATAATGGAAGAAATACACAAAGGACACCATTAGCGAGGATTTCAGCTTTCAAATGAAATATCACTTTTGTGTACTATAAACAATGGAAAAGAGGTTTTGGCCTATACCTTCTTAATTTAACTGAATGTGAAAGTCATCTCAATAAAATTGCTCTTTACTGTCTTGTGTCTGATTGTTGCCTCAATTACTGATTATCAACGTTAAAGGGTCCCTCTTGCCGGACTATTTATTTACAAAAATCTTCCAATACGATTGTATGTGCTTCTAACTTGTTGAATGCATGTTGTTTACCTGTAAAAAACAACCCTTGTGTAGACATCTGGAACCCCTGAGACTGGATGTCTTGAATGTAATGTCAGCAGCCCAAGCAGGCTCAGAGCTGCCAGTGATGGAGCATGCAGTGTTGAAGTTATCTCTGTGCTCTGTCCTCCAATCAGCAAAGCACCATTTATTGGATCCACCGCTCTCTGTAATGCAGTAACGCCTTGTTGGCTTACAGTGTTTCCATTTCCTCTCAGTCAGAATGCTGATGTGCTGTGGATTAAAGCAGGTTAGTACAAAGACAAACCAAGGAACTATATATATATAACTATTTAAAATATATACAAAAATGTTTTAAGAATGCACCCTGAGATAAAACTGGCAGGGTTATTCACAAAAGGGTGAAGAGTTTGGAGAAGGCTTACATATCACAGCAGCATGGCTGAGCAGGTGAGGAAAGAGAGAGCTGTCAGATCCTGGGCGAGCGGCTCTCTCTCTCCGCACCACTCGGCCGTCCTAAAGTGACAGCTCCCTTCACTGCCCCCCTTCCCCCGCCAGCTTCAGCACTTCACTTCTCCTCGGATCCCCGCTGCCTCTGCTCATACAGATGGGGGAGAGCAGCGGGGATCCAGAGGAGAAGCTGCAGGCTGTGCGCCCCACTTCTCAGTGCTGTGCTGAGCCTTGGCTGCCCCCCTCCCCCACAGTCGCCTTGCCCTCGCTGCGGCCCTGAAACTATATATAACTACATATAACTATTTAGAATATATCCATAATTTTTTTAAGAATACACACCTAGATAAACTGAGTATTTTATATCCGCCTTCTAAAATTACATTTTAAAGCTGAATATCAGGCAAACAGCTACTTACAAAGATGGAATGCATATATGGAAGCAGATTTCTATTCATGCCCATCTATATCTGAGATTTTCACAGCCCTGCTACACAACATGGTCAAGCAGATAATCCCACTCTGTTACAATGAAGGCATACCATACTGACACCATCTTGCCACCAACCTGTTGATTGGACAGTAAAATAGCAGTGAGAAACTGATGACCTGATGAAGGTCATCACTCTGCTCTCTCTGCTCTCTTCCTCTGGCAGCTTGTTTATTTTTTAGCATATTTGCATGCAGCTCACCTGATTGGCTCTCAGTGCTGTCCTTCCCTGTATAGGGAATGCAAAACATTCAAACCAAGAATTCAGTTACATACACTAGTTGCATTAAAAATAAATGTATTGATGTATTATTGGATTCATAACTGAATTTATTTGAATCTTTTGTATCTGCCTGAAATCCATCTTCAGAAACACAGAGTCTTTGGTACAAGTGGTTCACACTTAAATTTAGGAGCATTTCAAATGTCAGGAAGTGTTAAAACATGGTATTGATACTGTATGTGTAGTTTATTGTTAGAGTGTATTTATTCCAATAGCTGTATGTATAATTATGTGTTGCGGTTCAGCTTTAACCTAGGCTGTAATGTAGATGGCAGATTTTTCCCTATGAATTCAATTCTGAATATTGGTAGCATATGGTCACAGGAAACATGTGTGGTGTGTCCTGTATGATGGCTCTGGACAATTATTAGTGGGGACTGGGCAATTACTGTAAAGGCTGGATGGATCCAAGTGGATACATTTATTATATATTATGTACTGCCATATTGGGAGACTTCTTTAATGTAATTTCGTAATTGAGTTCTGGTTAATTAATTAGCTGGCCACTGGCCAGTGTTTGTTAGAAGGAAACACAGTAAACATTGTGTTAAAGCAGCCACAATAGCAGCCACTTCTTCCCACAATAGAAGAAGCTGAGTACTGTACTTACTACTCTGGAGGGAAGCAAATGAAACCTTCGCTGTCTTCGTCAGCTTTGGGTGCCACTGCTATCCAACAGTCTCCCCCTGCTGGGTGCCATGGTTTCTCATCCCAGCTGCTATGTCACTACAGTGTGAGGAACCATGTCACCCAATGGGGGATACTCTGTCTGCCAGAAGTGTTGGATACCAGTGGCACCCAAAGCTCATGCAAAGATGATAGTGAAGATTTCATTTGCAGCCTGCTGGAGAAGTAAGTATTCAGTTTCTCCTCTTACAGGCAGCAGTTTCCTGTGTTGTCACTTAGAGAAGTAACAGGGTGGCTTCAATAACCTATTATGGAGTCAAAGACAGTCAACCATCATCACTCTTAACAATGTAACATCATCATCATTGCATCTTGGAAGAAATGCATGATGGGATATGTAGACTTGAGAAATCGAGATTGCATCACATCAATCAGCAGGGAGAGAAAGAGACAGAAAGCACACCAGGAATACAGGAAGTTGTCAAAAGCGATGGGCAGACGGAAGGCAGCACTCACTACATAAAAGGGAATTTTTCATGAAAGCTTTCAGTGCATTATGAAAACCAACTCTACCATGTATTCCTATTACAATGCCGATGTTATAACAGGATATATGCTGGAACTTTACAACTCCTTTACTACGCCCTAACTCCATGCTGCTTTCATCATCAACCGTCAGAACTGAAAGATCATTTATTTTACAAGTATTTAGAAAAATATCTAAAAGTCAATCCTTTACTTACTCCCATATTAAATCCTCTTGTACATAGAGCTGTTGAGGGTGTCTTTCTTTTCATAACTTCATAAGATATCCTGTAATGAGAAAACAAGCAAACTACCTACCTTTTGAAAATACTTATTGCCTGGCTATTATGTTGATCCGAAGACTTCAATACTTTCTGAGTCACTAATGTACTGTATTTGCCGGCATATAAGACAGGTTTTGAAACCTTAAAACATCCCCCAAAAATCGGGGGTCGTCTTATACGCCGGTTACATACAGAAGGATATGGTATACTCTATGTAGCTTTGGCTACATAGAGTATACCGCGCTGAGCCAATCACGGCAGGCTTTGTATTAATGAATACAAAGCCTGTATTTATTAATACAAAGCGTGTCGTGATTGACTCAGCGGAAGACGGAGGACACAGCGGGGATCGAGGACAAGGTAAGAGACTGTAATCCCGATTGTGGCTCGGGGTTACCGCTTATGGTACTGAAAATTAACCCCGAGCCACACTCGGGAATACCGCCATGGATGTTAGTGGGTGCATTTAAACATTATTTTGGGCTATACTCGTCTTATACGACGAGTATAGCCCAAAACCTACATTTTAACACAAAAAGTGGGGGGTCGTCTTATACGCCGAGTCGTCTTATATGCCGGTAAATACGGTAGATCAAGTGTGCAGATCGGGCTTTCAAAGAAATATCACACAGCAGATTACAGCAACGTTGATCACTTTATTAAATAGCCGGCAGGAACATTCTGACGTGTTTCACAGTAAGGCACCGTGCTTTCCACAAAAATTAAAGAAATTACTGTTCCTTAGCATGAAAGTGATCAGGATTGCAGCATTCCGGTGTAGGGTATTGCTTTGATTTGTTTATGTTAGCAGCTCCAACAGATGTGTGAATGATCCTACCTGCGATATTTAGATTCATGTACGAAATTTGGGGTACTAATCTTCCTCTGATTTTACTATCTGCGTGCTTGTTTAGAAATTACTGTACGTTCAGAGACAAGCAAGGAGCTAGTATTTTTAAATACTAGCAATGGTAGCCTCTATATTTCCTTCAGCACAGGTTTCCTTCAGAATAGGGACATGGACTTTAGAGTCCTACTACAAGGAGTGACTACCTCTCTTTGACCCTGTACTGGACAATTACCATCACCTTCTCCAGCGGGGTTAAATTCACCATGCTCACCCTCACGTGTGTTTCCTTGTGGCTCGGGGTTACCGCTTATGGTACTGAAAATTAACCCCGAGCCACACTCGGGAATACCGCCATGGATGTTAGTGGGTGCATTTAAACATTATTTTGGGCTATACTCGTCTTATACGACGAGTATAGCCCAAAACCTACATTTTAACACAAAAAGTGGGGGGTCGTCTTATACGCCGAGTCGTCTTATATGCCGGTAAATACGGTAGATCAAGTGTGCAGATCGGGCTTTCAAAGAAATATCACACAGCAGATTACAGCAACGTTGATCACTTTATTAAATAGCCGGCAGGAACATTCTGACGTGTTTCACAGTAAGGCACCGTGCTTTCCACAAAAATTAAAGAAATTACTGTTCCTTAGCATGAAAGTGATCAGGATTGCAGCATTCCGGTGTAGGGTATTGCTTTGATTTGTTTATGTTAGCAGCTCCAACAGATGTGTGAATGATCCTACCTGCGATATTTAGATTCATGTACGAAATTTGGGGTACTAATCTTCCTCTGATTTTACTATCTGCGTGCTTGTTTAGAAATTACTGTACGTTCAGAGACAAGCAAGGAGCTAGTATTTTTAAATACTAGCAATGGTAGCCTCTATATTTCCTTCAGCACAGGTTTCCTTCAGAATAGGGACATGGACTTTAGAGTCCTACTACAAGGAGTGACTACCTCTCTTTGACCCTGTACTGGACAATTACCATCACCTTCTCCAGCGGGGTTAAATTCACCATGCTCACCCTCACGTGTGTTTCCCTTTTAACCCATCTGACTTAAGTAGCCTTTATGGAAGCATAAAATCCTACCAGCATAGCTCTGTAGCTGGACATACATGCAGCAATATGATGGACCTCATAAAGATGGGGTACCCATTGCCCTGATCAATGTCTCTCGGGAACTTTAGCAGCAATTAGGTGTGGTCATGCCTCTAGCTGCCAGAGTCTTGCAATGCTTCATGAGACTTGTAGTTTCGTCACAGCTGGAGTGCCAGGGTTACCTAGCCATGGCATATTGTGTAATACCGTGTAAAGCAGTTGTTCTCAACCTGTGTAACCTCAGTACCCACATTTGTCCTTGGTCATTAAGTCATGACCCAGGTCGCACAGCTTTGCGGTACAGCACTTTGCAGTGCAGGCAATTGAACTGTGGGTGGGAGGTGCGTTTGGGGTGCCCCTTCAAATGAATTGCAATGTAACACACCTCCCACACCAGAATTGACAGTAGGTGCGATTTTGCGTGGTACAGTGTGTTAATCGGATGGGACTGTGCAGTTAACGCCCTCAAAAAGCACTGACAAACAAAGACAATCATAGACACAATCTCACACACACTCCAAAAAATATTACTTTTTTTTAAGGTCCAACCATTCTCCCTACCTTACGAGAACTGGAGTGGATCCTCAGCCTGGGGTCCAGTGTGGGCTGCTGTGCTGTGATGGAGCTCCATCCATATGTGCATTGCTGGTACAGCTCCCTTGTGCACCCTGTAAAGATGCCGGGAGCCAGAATGTGACATGACGGCGGTTCAGGCACCTCTACAGGACACGTGAGGGAGCTGTAAGCAATGCACATATGAATGGAGCTCCCCTGCGGCCATAGCCCCATCCCATCCCATCCTGACACTTGGCACCAGGCAGCATATTTTGAATGGCTGCTTATTATGTGAACTGACAGTGCTGTGCTAGGGGGAGGCCGATGAGCCTCTCACCTAGAAAAGTGGAAGGCATGCGGCGACCCACTGAACACGTGGTCGCGGTCCACTTTTGGGTCACGACCCACCAGTTGAGAACCAAGAGATTAAAGCACCAAAGCTTTATTAAAAGAATACCATCACACTGACAAACATATGAGCAGAGTACCTCCCTCTCTACTGAGGCTTTGGGGGTGATTTACTAACCTAAACACACACACACACCAGGTGTGTGTGATTTTCACACAGCAAAACGTATTTATCAACCAAAAAGTCTCTAAAAGCATATTTCCACTAATGCCATATATGGAAAAATCATGCACATGATGCATATATAATGCTGCTTCACAGTTTAGACAAAAATGGTTAGCTCATGCATTTACATTCCTGCATTCATCAACGCAAGCAACATAACATAGAGCTAATTTACACCACATTACCTTGCAATTCATTGCAGGGCTTTGCACAACACACCTGCTGGGTGTGTACACATTACAAAGGTGTTTCGATTCCTCCCATAGATCATGCTGAGAGGGAACACACTGCAGAGGTGTATACATGTTCGTGGTGTGTTTAAAAGATTAGTAAATCAACCCCTTTGACTGGCTGCAAGTAATCCTTACTGACCCAGCCTGTCACAGCTTTTCTTACGCAGCTTCTGGAATGCGTGTGACACCCTGCGTACTTTGTCACCAGAGGACTTCGTCCTAGTAGGACATACCATGAGAGCCAGGCGCTTTTAAATGTGAATCCCTCTAAAATGACAAGATCCCTAAATAAATGATCCACACTCTTATGACAGCTAAATAGTAGAGAAGATCATAAAGAGGGCCATCAAAGTGACGATCCCTGAATATCACACACACAAAATCAAGAATAGTGCAGGCAATGATACTATGAACAAAAAATCCAAACTATTGGATTTACAGTAATACCCAGGTTGCTATAGTTCAGCAGGGCAATCTCTTACACTTTACATAAGATGCAATAAGTAGAAAGTGGATACGTCAAAAACGTAATTGTTACAGCTACTCACTACTATAGCAAAATCTATCTTCTGTATGTCTTTATTAATACTGTAACATATTAATTACTCATTCTATGTATGTGAGCATTTTCATGTCAACACAATTTTACAAATGTATTGAATGCAAACATGAGAATACAAGGCTATTAAAGCGTTATACCCCACACAGGGGGCAAGGGGAAACACATAGAATTATTGCAATACAATAAAAAGTAGCCAGGTGTGAATTATCATAATTCTTCTTAGCATATTAGCATATAATGTCATCCAAATATCAGAGACCCCAATACCTAACCCCAACCCCTTGAATATGGACAGATATGGGTCAACTGAATTGAACAGTTTAAAGTGTATCTCTAAGCAAAAGTTGTTGTTTTTTATAGTTTTTGAGTGTGTAAAGGTTAGACCCTCTGTCCAATTTTTATTGATATCTGGGGAATTCCAAAAGTTGTCATCAGATCGAGAGGTATGGGGAAGTCTTTCAATGGGGACACCTGTTACAGGGACAGCTGTCTAAAGCAGGGTATACATTCCTCCCTGAATCCCTCGATCAGCTGAACATAGTCCCTGTGTGTGTTGTAAAGTAGTCACTCCCATGACGGTCTACAATCTCAATACAAACTAGTAAACTAAACATGAGATTGTAGTCCATCACGGGAGCTTGGAGAGGTGGCTACTTTACAACACACACAGGGGCCATGGGAAACAAAGGTAGCCACCCTCCAGAAGGAAGGACAGTGTCAGCACCAATTCAGAGACTTGAGGATCTCCAGCCGAGTGATACACAAAGATAAGATACATTTTTGATAATAGTTAAGGTACTTGAATGTATTTTTAAGATTTAACTCCTGAGTTAGTGTCATTTTAAGTAAATAACTCATGCAGCATGAAACTGGCCAGACCATGTGTATATAAAATATAGTAGAAGCAGTTTAAGAACCAAAGCAAAATCTTCTTGTTTGCTTCCCACCATAAACCAGCCACCACTCCGTCACAATTTTCTCAGTGTGCTACAAATGAGGTTTCTTACTTGTTTCCCAATCAGCACATAGATAATGGGATTTAGGCAGCTGTTGATAGCGGCTATGCTGGAGAGAAGCGGCAAAAACACAATGACTCTGTACATCAGCGTGAACTGCAAAGTGTAAGCCGAAGCCAGGAAAATGATCTGCCCTAAGACCAGTGGTGTCCTCGAGCAGAAGAATGCCATGATTGCTGCGATGACCACTCTGTACAGTCTGGATGATGGTCCCGATTGAGAATTTTTTACCTTTATAGCAATGACTAGATTGGTAATCAGGATAATGCAGAGAGGGATAAAATAGCCAATCACAAGCAGTGAAATTAGAAGATTAGTCGTTGAGGAAAACATGTTATTCCATGTGTGATGAATGTTTTCATCTTCCATATCTCCCTGGCATTGTTCTCGTTCAATATTCCTAATCTCTTCTACTTCAGTGCTGTTGAGGGCACTACTGATATAAGAAAAATGGCCAACGTCATTGGAGAAGAGCGTGCATTGTATGTTATGGTCGTGATCATATTCATTACTGTAAACGAATGCGGGAATGCTAGACAGTGTCGCAATTATCCAAATCAGAGCGCAGACGGAGTAACAGATCTTCTTGGAAAGGAACTTCATGTGCCATATTGGTTTGGCGATGCTCAAAGCACGGTCAATGTTGAGCGCAATGAGGATGTAAATGCTGGCGTACATGTTCACAAAGGTAAAGAAATGATAGCATTTACACATAAACAATCCATAAGGCCAGTGCGCCTGTATCACTGAAGCCGTGTTGAATGTCAAGAAGAGGATGAAAGTGAAATCAGCAACCGCCAAGTTCAGGAACCATATTTTCGATTTGGAATTCTCCATTAGGAACGCGGTAACGGCAATTACAATGGCATTGCCCACTAATCCGGCCAGACAGGTGAGTATAGACAGCAGGTAGCTGACATACTGGATAGCAGTTGGGTTGTCTGTGCTGGGATTGAGGGCTTCAAACTCGGGATTATTGATGATATCCCAGATTAGTTTACAGAGCTCTTCAGTCAGCTCAGCCATTGCTAGAACCTGAAAGACAAAAAGACAAACAGTTATGAAATTCTAGAAGATCATTTGGATTTATATGTTGCAGCTGTAGCACCAATAGCATTGTGGGCCATTCTACGTACACTCCAACCAAGCAATACAATTGGGCATTGCAACCTGGGCATTGCAACCTCAGCATATGATAAAAATGGATTAGGATACATTCACACGGGTGGCTGGATTGCCGTGGTGAGATGCAGCTAAACACGCACTTTGGCCACGCTTTGACCATATAAATACTGGCCGATAAATTGTGGCCAGTTTGTGTGCTGTCAGAACTGCCATCCCTGGATGGATACAGACTGTCTGTGTCCAAGGCCAGTCAGAGGCTCTTTTTTCATGAAACCAGTTACATTCAAACAGTGGCCGCGCCGACCATTGATTTGCCTAGGCACAATTGCTATATTGCTGGAGCACTCCTCTCTGCAAGGGGATAATCACCACAATCCGGACTTGTGCTGACAGATAGAGTTAAGACTGTAAATAGACTTGATTGGTTGCCACTATCTGAGATCATTGCAGCAGAGAGACAGTATCGAGAGCAGTATCGATACCGATACTGGTATCGGTATCGCTGGTGATACAGGACATTTTCACTAGTACTTGTACTCGTGAAAATGCCCCGATACATAGTGTCGGTGCTTTATATTTTGAAATCGTTTCGGGCTGCTTGTACAAGTGATCCGCCCAGATCTGTTCTGGTGACAACAGCTTAACCAGACAGGAAGTGAGGGAAACTCTGATACAAGAGCACAAACAGAAATAGAAATCTGACTGTGTTTTTATCTTTCACCTGTTCTACTAAAATAAAGCATTTGCATTTCTGTCTGTGCTGCTTTTGGAGAGTTCCCCTCTCTTCCTGTCTGGTAAAACATTGTCAGCAGGACAAGAAGTGAAGGAATCATTTATGAAGTAAATTATTGACGCAGAACCTCTATAGATTCTAAAGCAGGGGTGGGCAAACCTTGGCCCTCCAGCTGTATTGAAACTACAAATCCCACGAGGCATCTGTCTCTGGGAGTAATGCCCTTGGCTGTGAAAATCTTGCAATGCCTTGTGGGATTTGTAGTTCTACAACAGCTGGAGGGCCGGAGTTTGCCCACCCTTGCTCTAAAGTCTATGCAACATTTTGTTTCTGTATTTGCAACCCCTGTGTAAGTGTCCCCCATAGTGATAAATGTCCTCTATAGTTATTAACAAGTGTCTAGTACTCACTGTTCAGATTCCCCTTATAAACAGAATCACATGGAACATTGAACAAGCAATCAGCTTTTCCCTTCAGTTTGTTCAGTTGAGCTTTGAAAATGGAAGAGAGAACCTGATTGGTTGCCATGGGCAACTGCTTCAGATTCTATGCTCCAGTTTTGATAAATCACCCTCATTTTATATACAGTATAATGTAATGGTTTTTATCCTGTTGCTACCTTTGTGTGTCTCCATGTCTTATATCCTTGGTGTTTACCTTATTGAATTTGCTCAGAGTGTTATAGGAGCCGCCTATTCGCAAACACCTCAACTCTCCCGGATGTTTCGGGAGTCTCCCGTTATTAGATAGCGGCTCCCGGGCACCCGGGAGAGAAACATTTTCTCCCAGAAAGGTTTACTCTGTTCGATCTAGCAGAGTAAACCTTTCCCTGCCGTCTTTTTTTTCTGACATCGGGGGCCCCCGGCCCTCTTCAGTCATAAAAAAAAAAGGCATAGGAACGAATAGCTAGATTGCTATTGGCTAATTCAATTTGCAATAGCCAATAGCAGATTAGCTATTGCACCCGCCCACTGCTGCTGTCAATCAGCAGAGGTGGACCTGAAGTTCTCCATCAGGTCCACCTCTGCTGACTGACAGCAGCAGAGGGCAGGTGCAATAGCCAGCTCGCTATTGGCTATTGAAAATTGAAATAGCCAATAGCAATCTAGCTATTAGTTCCTATGCCGCTTTTTTTTTTCTGAAAGCAGCAGCTGTCAGAACACTAAAAAAAAACAGCAGATAGCAAAGGAAGCATTAGCTTCATTGCTATCTGCCATCATTTCTGCCATCATTTCTTCCTTGTTGTTGCACCCCCCCCCCCCTTCCCCCTAGAGGAAGAGAGGAGTTGACAGAGGGCACCTCCCTGAAATGAGAAGGGCACCTCCCTGAAATGACTTATTTCAGGTTGGAATCCCTGTATTGGATATACAGTAGGGTGACCATTCGTCCCCGATTTCCGGGGACAGTCCCCGGAATGACGAGAACTTCCCCGGACAAATTACTCGCCGCCCAGTTTCCTGATCACACGGGAAGCTGGCTCCATGTTCCCCTACGGCACTTCCTCTGACTGGAAGTCCGGTATCAGGGAAGGTATCAGAGCATTTGGGCGAGTATGAGTACTCGCCCAAATACCTGGTATCGGCACCTATTATCGTTATTGGTGCATCCCTACCAAATACACTGCATATATAATTTGAGGAAAATATGCTAATAAAATAGTTTTTTTTACCATTTGCCAATAAAAAAAAATATCCTTGGATTTCATTTTAAAAATCTGGTCACCTTAATATACAGTATGTGGCATACAATATTCAGTAAGGGCGCCCTGGAATTGAGGATGGGTATTCTTCAGGTTTTTATTGAGATTACCGTAATTTGGTGTGTTTTCTTTCTTTTTGATGTTTTGAAAATACACTTTATGGCAATTCATAAATTATTTGTGTAATTGCATTTTATAAAAAAAACAATGTTCTGTGTAATTGCCATGGTAGATGTTGTTGCCAGCTTTTACTTCAGACAACAGCAATAGGAAAACAGAATTCTCAGTGCCCGTCTGACCCTTCATAGCCCTAAGCCAGACATACGCTTGTTGATTTATTTCAGGCTGAACAAAAGAAATCTAACAGGTTCCTTCATCCAAGCTAAACAGCGAGGATGAACGAATCTCCCCTGCCGGGGCTATCGTCTGTTGACAGCTGCTGTCGGAATACCCGAACGGTGACTGCAAATGATTGCTGAAGTCACTGTTCAGTTGGCAATGTTACATCTGGCTGCTGACATCATCTGGCCCGACAACAGTTGACTTTTGTCAAGCTGGGAGGTGATAGTGAGGCTTGAATTTTGACTTTAGCTTGAATTGATGGACCAAATGGAAATTTTCTGCCTGACTCCTTAATGTTTCTATGAATCCGACTAATTCAAGTGAAGACCGACTTCTAGTATGAAATTCCCAATTCAACTTTGTAAAAGGGGAAATCTCTTACCTTGTTTTGCAGAGATTGACAACCAGACCTGGAAGCTCACTAAGGTGTTATTGATGTGACTTACCTCAGTTCACGAGACGACTCACTGAATTAATGGAACTTTGCTTTCTTTTCGTAGGCGTTTTAAGGATATCTGGGATAAAATCTTATTTGTAGCCACTGTTAAAATGTATTGATAAACATTTTGAGGCATAAATTATTAATGATATAATAATTATTGTAAAATGCTCTCCTTTTACCAACTGGAATCCAGTGTTGGCTTGTGTATATAATGGGCTCTCGGCTGTATAGACTATACATTTTCTGTTATGTAGTGAAACAGTAAATTATGTATTCAGTTATGCAGTATGTTGTCTTCAAAAACTGTTTTTGCATTGGTTACTATTCACTAGAATGGGACATTGTCTTATAATTTAATTGGGCTTCCTTATGCTGCACTCAAAAAAAGACTTTGAGTTGATAGGCTGTTATTAGTTATTGAAACTGATCAATGCATTTATATTAGTGATGTGCATCTGCATTTTATACAGAGCCCTCAAATAGTTATGTGCTGGGCTCATGCAAAATGCTTTTAATATGAAATTTGACCTAATTATCAGTGGTGTAACCACAGAACATGCGGCCCCATAGCAAAATGTGGATGGGGCCCCCCGGAAACCTCCCTATTGTCAATAATATTAAAATCAGGAAGCAGGAGAGCTGCCTGTACACCTAATGTCAGCTCTTCTTGATTGGAAATGTTAGTGTCAACAGCAACTTCTGCAACCCTAATGGACCCTCTTCCACCCCCAGACCCCATAGCAGGAGCATGGCCTGCTATGGCTATTGTTATGCCACTGCTCATTGTGTAACTATAGCAGGAAGGCCATCAGATTTAGCACACTGGAAGTGAAAGGAATCTATGAACAAGTTCGACTGCAAATGGCAGAAGGTCAATACAATAAAGTTTGATAACTTTTTAATGCATGTATCTGATCAGGATGCAATTGTTTTTCCTCTGCAAGGTTGGACACTTTACAGGGAAACTGTGAGGATGCTTGTTGTCAATCATAGCTGAGGCTCTCATCCATCAGTGGAGACAACCTTTGTCTGATTCCTGCAGGGAAGGCTGTTCTAGAACAGAGCACATTGTAGAATTTGCAATGCTTACAGGGTTTTGTCAATGGCAACCTCCAGCAGTAGATGGGTACCTCACCTGGGCCAGTTGTCAGCTGTCCATACAGTCTACCCTTAAATAGAAATGCAAGCAGTTTGGATGTCTCTTTCACGCAACCCAATTTCATCTTCTGCCCCATGTGCTCCAAGATGGAGACTCTGATAGTTTAGAGTTAGGACCGCACTATAAGAGGTGCCTTGGCGCGGCTGTGCGGGTATCACATTTTCTGCAGAAGACGTGTATCCAAACCCCTGTTTTTAACCTTGGTATGAGACAAGTTTTTTTACTTGCTAGCTTGTGAGTGTGCCAGGAAAACTTTTTGCTGTTTTACTGTTTAGAGCCCATTCAGTGTGCACCTTGCTGTAAAGCTGGTGACGAATTGATGAGTGCGTTTGTCATCTATTTTGCTCAATCGACAGTTTAAACTGCTGTTGTACATTTCTACAGGGGCAAAGAAGGTGATCGTGAGATCTTGGAAGACCCCTTCTCTTTCCATCAGAATATTTTTTAATATTATGTCACATTTTCTGGGTTTTTTTAAAGTTATCTGCTATGCAGAACAATACCTTGCCTAAGTTTTCGGCTACCTGGGATCCATGGACTGCAGCATTTTTTTTGTGACTCCTTTGATAGTGGCCCCATGGTGCTTTGAGGGCTAACCCTTGGGTTTTTTGGGGAGTGTCAGGGAAGTTCAGTTCTGTGTCCATAGTGCAACTTCTGCACGTATTGATGCACGAGCCA